TCATTCCCAGAAAAGATCGCCATTCCCAGAAAAACTTGCCACTGCTCGTCTATCCTGGAATTCACTGGCATCCCTGGCTTTGGCACTATCTTAAAAAGCCTGCTATGCACCCGTACAAGCTTGGCCAGTCTGGAGGTGCCCTGTATGGTTATTGATATTAGCCCCAGACATGGCAGACTGGGAGATGCTGGTATTCCCCTGTGCATGCAGACGGTTGGAGATCCTGTCGAAGGGGCGATGCACAAGTGGGATGGCTCTCACCGTGGACCAGCTGTGGAGGCCAGGACTGTGGTCTAAAGTTACCACCCAGCCCAACGCAGTCTCAGCCATCTGGAGGAATGCACAGGACTTTTGGAAGAAGGTCAATGACCTTCTCCACTCCACGAGGGCAGCTTCCACCATCTTCTGTCCAATGTATTAAACTCACTCTGTCTCTGCCACTGTACCCATCTTCCACCAAGTCTCATGCTCTATCTCTCACGGTTGCCTGAAAAATCTTCCCTTACTCGTTCTCATCCACTCCTGATGCCACTAACCCTGCATACCCTCTGTGCTGCCTTACTCATTCACTCAGGACAACTCCCAACCTTCAACAAAACTAATAGTTGTATCACCCACTTTCATTTCTTGTAGCATCCGCCTTTGTCTCAGTCGGTGAGGAAAGCAGGCCACAACAAGGGGGAAAGGGTCAAAGTGGGTGGTGAGCTGCCCAACATTAGGCACCTCACCCGTTACGTGGAGAGGATTCTGACGCTGGCCACCCTGAGCAGCTGTCAAAGATCTTGGGCTGTTGTTGAAGGCCGCCTTTGACTTTAATGGTCAGCAGCCCCTGGCTGAAGGCTTTCTCCTTTCGAGTTGACTGAGAACCATGACAAAATTCCTGGCTTTGCATCAGCACGAAACAGCGCAGCAAGACTGAGCCTGAGGGGGTAATTTGCAAAAAGTCAAGGCTAAGCAAAGCAAAGCAAAGCAGAGGTTGTTGTGCATTCAAGTTACCTCAGAGTGAGTAAGTGCTATGACAGCAAGTGAACAGCCCAGAAATGAAGCCCGTCCAATCCCTGAGCTAGGTGCATGTTCCTGAGTGCACAGTGTCCTTGCAGCAGATACAATGATATTTGCTGGTGCAGACTGAGGTGCAGTAGCGTAAATGTAGAAGTGTACTGTAAGTGAATTGAAAATGTGCCATGAGGGTATTTGGAGGCTGGCACATGTCAGATAACAGTGTGAGGAGTGTTTGGCCAGTATCCATCGTGAGTATCCTGAGGTGAAAGTGAATGCTGTCCAACATGGAGATCCTTCAGTGCCTATGGTGAACTGATATTGCCACATACCCACCTTCTCTTCCATATCAAGAACTCTTGATTTTGAGCTTGTTCAGCACATTTAATAAAATAGAAAGATGAATATTAATAAGGAGAGTTGTGGTGTTAATAAGGTGTTTAACAAGCAATAGTCCTCTCTAGTTGGCAGCTTGGCACTGCCTCAGACAAACTCACCTGGCACCTGGAAAATCCATAAAAGATGCGGTAAATGGCTCCCAACATCGAGATAGTCCTGGCTGGACTTCTCACCCAATTCTGCCAAAAATCTTGCCATAGCCCAAGCCTCTCAGGCTCATGTAAGTTTCTGCCCTTTGCTTTCTAAGACCACACAGGGCAGAGCTGGGGAAGAAATTTGCTCTTTCCTCTATCTTTTCAGTAGAATTATAAAGAGCTGAAGAACAGAGCCAGATCATTTGGCCCAACTGGATCATACTGGCGCATAAGTCTTCACAATCATCCTGTCACACTGTATTTAAACAGCTTCCCCTTAAACGCATCTGTGATTCACCTCATCTGCCCACTCTGATAGTTAGCTCTATATTCTCACTGCTCTGTAATTAATGAGACTCTCTTTCAGCTCCAGTACAGATTGAAGTTTATGTTGTGGACGACTTGTGCACAAGGAATTCACCTTCCTCAATCAGATATTCAATGGTGTACAATATGGGAAGTCTCCCTATGTTCACTGACCTACACTGACTCCTAGTTCTGGAAGTCCCTGATTTTTAAACTTCTCATTCTTGTTTTCAAACCAATGCTTGTTCTTGTCCCCTCCCTATCTTGGTAACGGCTATAGCACAGAAGGTGGCCATTTGGTCCATCGAGACGGTGCCAGCTCCCTGCAACTCCCCCATTCATTCTGTGTGATCTTGACAATATTGACCCTACAGTCTTTAACCGACTGTTTTGACTGAACCTGCCTCCACCACACTCTCAAACTGCACATTCCAAGCCCTAACCACTCACTGCCTCCCCTGTTCTCCAGCGGTACAAGCCTCCAGGGTCAAAGCTGGCAGGGACAGATATAGGACTAAGGATGGAGTTCATCTCAGTCCCCTTTTGCGAGTCAATGAGTTATCTACTTTCTTTAATGTAGATTCATATCTTCTTTTAACAGTCCAAAGGGGAATCGGACTTGTCCAAAATGGTTACTAACCTCTCCATAAGGACACTTTACTTCTCTAAAATCTATCCTTGGATCCTAATGGTAAAATGGTACCCTACCACTTCAAAGAACTCTGACAATTTTAGACCTTTACCTAAAACGTTTTAAATGCATATGTCATGTTTTAGACACCCCAATAGTGAATATTGGATCTGATTTAAATATGTGCAATAGCCTCCATGAGCCAAGAATGTTCTGGTACAATCCATACACCACAGTAATCCAGTGAAAATGATGGGAGCCAGACTCAGGGAGTGGACCCAGCTTTGGGCATATGCTCCAGTTTGGCCATCTAGACACTCTCTCCATTGTGGCCCTATGAGGTATTATTTACATAAACACCTTACAAACATTCACCTTCAGGCCTCACAAACACAGTTACAGTTAACTGCCCTGTAGTTAGGCACCATTCATCGTATGTTAATTCACCCACATGAATACTTGCTTACTCCTCACCACCTGAATACAATTAAATACCAGCTTGTATGACGAGACTGAAGGCCCTCATGGTCGAGTAGTAGTGTTGCTAACTCTGGACCAGGAGGCCCGTGTTCAAGTTCCACCTGCTGCAAAAGTGTGTAATAACATCTCTGAACAGGTTGATTCAAAAGTGTCTATAAGTTAAGATTTCGAAAGAGGTAGCCCTGGGAATCTGCGATTTTACCTGGGAACTATTGTAGCCACAATAGGGTCCTGTTCTGAGCTCAGCAGGTGGTCATACTGGATAAGTCAGATCTCAGCAAGAAACCTGGTGTGATAGACCATAAGTTTGATTTTTCTTTCTGTTTGCTGCCTGCATCACTGAACATATTCACAAGAGCTGCCAATGTACTTTCACCAAAGATCATAAAAGTTTATTTAAAGAAAAGCAAGAACTAAATCTGACTAGACAAGGACTATTGGAGCAATCTCATTACAAAAATTAGAAAGAAAATTCATCACTTTTATCCCAGTAATGCCCTTACATGAACCTAAGTGAAGAATCATCTCTATCCTCACATTAAAACTCCTTGCCTGGCAAACATGCTCTAATCCATTTCCTTTCAGTAACTTTCTGTGTATTTTCTTCAGTCAATGTCTATCCCAAAGGCTCATCTACTTAACATGGGTTCCTTAATCGCAAGTCTTCAACAGCTTTATACGATATCCTCTCTGACACCTCCAAAGCCCTCTGCTCTGGAGTTTGGCTGTTAGACTACAGCACCTCTGCTGTTAGGACCTCTTCTCAGTGAATGATTTGCCTCTGGCCTTCTCTCCCCCTCTCCCTCTCTCTCTCACTCTGTCACTGAGTTCCAAAACTCATGTCAACAAGTTTCTTAGGAATTATCTCCCCAGCTGACTGCATGTTGTTTGCCTGGGATCACATGACCTCTTGTAAGTGTTATTTTTAAGTTTTTGGACTTGGTGCTCAGTTTTACAACTGATGCTCTTCCTGTTGCCAGCCCTCCATATTTGTCCAGGCTGAGAATCAGCAACGGATACATGCTGCTTCCCCTTCTTCCTCAGTTGGGTGATATTAGAAAAGTGAGGACACCATAGAAATATTCTATTGACAGTGAAGTGCTTTGGGATATGAAATGTTCTATGTAAAGATTTCTTCCTTACATCTGTGGGTGTCCAAGACAGTAGGAACTGCAGATGCTGGAGAATCTGAGATAACAAGGTGTAGAGCTGGATGAACACAGCAGGCCAAGCAGCATCAGAGGAGCAGGAAGGCTGACGTTTCGGGCCTAGACCCTTCTTCAGAA